GAGGCAGCTGACCTTTCTGACATGTGCATGTTTTTGGCTTTCAGGCATCAGATCATTTCCTGAGAGTTTTGAAGAATAAAGCAACACTTTTTAATAGCAAGAACTGCCACCAAGTCTTTTGCTTGAGCTTGTTTGGTTTTTCCCTACTGCCTCAAATGTATGGTGAGAGCACGGAGCTTACAACTGTGTAGTTGAGAGAGACTGAACATCTTTCGTGGTAATGGAGTTACTGTGTCACAGCAGTTTCTCTTGCAGATATCCTATCCTCCTGCCCATGGTTTCAGCAAGACTTTGGTCTGTCCTGGGCTATCTGCCATTTGCCTGATTTGGAGGATGTACAGCCATTGAAGTGACCCTTTCATGCAGGCTCAGTTCTAGGGCTGATTGGAAGTATTGACGCTTCTTTGTCAGCCTGAGTACTGCATCCAGCTTTAATGGTGGCCAAGAGAAATGAGACAGATGTCAGAAATGAAGCAGAGCTGTCTGATGCCTGACCTTGTCTGCTGCACATGGTGGGACACCATGCTGCCTGTGAGCAGAGTGTCCACGTAGGGCTTCCAAAACATACGTGCACTGGCTGAATTTAACATGCCATCAGTAATCACATATCCAAATTTATTTTACAGCTGTGGTACTTGAAAAAGCACTGGTTTTTGTAATGGCAGAGGCCCAGGGCTGTCAGTGTGGAAGGGACCCAGGAGAAGCTGCCAGTCAGCAGTGATTTTTGCCCGTCTGCTGTGCAGATACCACAGGGAGTTGTATGGTGCTTAGATAAGTGATAAGTGAAGTCTGCACACTGCCTCTCCAGCAATGCAGCAATCCTGCTTGTGTATCTCCATAGAGCCCTGGGATCCAGACATGGCCCTGTTCCATTGTATGCATTGACAAGCTATCTCTTGTCTTTGAACATGGGTTTGTGACCCCATTGTTTTTAATAAATAATGGAAAAGCAACTTCAAAAGAGAAAGTTAAGTCCAAATCCCCAGCAAGCAAATCATGCATCTCCCAGGATCCTCCTTGCCAGGGACATTTCAAGTCCCTGGTTAAACTCTCTCTGAGTGGTCTTCAAAAGGAGAGAGCCATCATTTGAGAAACTAGTAGACAAAAGCACTGGCATCCTGGGAGTGCAGCCTGATGGTATGCCTATTATCAGCTGCTAAGCAAAGTGTGTTTATTTTAGCACAAAGGCACTAGTGACTAAGCTTGAAATATTTTGAAATTGGTGCTGAAATGACCTCGAGGTCATCCTGAAGGTCCCACAGCTAAACAGACTAGACAGACATGTGAGGGATGAGCAGTACATAAAAGCTCAGGGCTCAAACTTCCTGTCAAAAGATGAACAAGATACCTTGTAAAAAAAGTGAAGACAGTAAAGTTGAAATGCCAAAAAATTTTAATTGTCTGAATCTTTTCAGGTGTGAGATTAGCTAAATTCAGGGTGAAGCAAAAGTGAAATGCAGTCAGGAGCCAGCAGTATAAGACATGTAGTAAAACAATTGATCCTGAAAGCAGCAAACCACACCTTAAATATTCCTGGGTTTGTCAGAGGATATTTCATCATGATACATGTTGAAAGTAGGCAGTTATCAATATGTGATTCCTCACATGCCATTTAACTTCTCAATCCTTATTTTTGGTGAAAGTAAAACTGCATCTCCATGCTCAGATGAAACCTGTGCCAGCCTCTGCAGGCACAGTCAGAAGCATTGCTTGTGAGAGGGCCTGGTTTAGTTCAAGGCACTGTCCCATGGCAGGGAGCTCAGTGCAGGGACAGAAGTCACTGCCACCCTGCTCTGCACTGTGGGGCAGTCCCAGTGCTGTTCCTTTTACTGCTGTGGCTGCAGCAAAAACATGCATTTCCCAGCTCCACTGGGACAGTCCCCAGCGCAGCCTCGGAAGCGAGCTTTTCCTACATCTTGCCTTCCCAATTGTATGATGAGAAAATGCTTCCTCATCTCAAAGAGACACTGGAGAAGTCCGTCCCAGAAGTGCACAGAGAGAAGTTGAGAGCAGCAGGGAAGACATGGGCTGTGTTTGCATGAACCACTCCCACAGTGGCTGCAGGAGCACCTGGTTACTCATGGGTTTTGCTGATTTCCTTTTACAATTCTGCCAGGAGCCTAAAGAAAGTAATGGAGAGCTAAAAATAGTTAAAATGCTTACCTCTTCCCTAACAAAAGTAATTAAATCATCCCGGTCCTGTCACAAAGTGCTCTTGGTGTCAGCAACTCTTCAGGGACTCACATAATGCCAATGGGCAAATTATAAATCCTTTACAAAGGATTTATCCCTCTGCTGAATGAGCTTACAGCAGAAGCCCAGACATAGCATGCTGGCTGTGGCACCTTCACTGAAAGTCTGTTGCCATCAATCTTAACCTGCTAATGTCACCGTGTTAAAAATACACTGGGTGCAGAATGGCTGGTAAATGCTTTTTTTGTCACCATGGAAGAATGGCATTGTGGCAGTGATCCAAACCTCATCCCTTCTGTTGGAATGTCTGCTGCTCATGCACCAGGCCTTCATCCAAAGAAATGTTTCTCTTTGCATGGCCCCATTGTGTATGTTTTTCCTCACCACTGTCAGCTTGTCTTTAAGGAGACACATTGCATGCAGGTGGAAAGTCACTTGGGCACCTGCCCGTTGCGCTGAACTGGAGCCCTTGCTACCATGTAATTTAAAACCAAAGCTAAATGGTTTTGTTTGATTTTCATTTTTGGGAGTGCCAAATCCCAGTGTTGGAGTGCCAAATCCCAGTGTTGCATTTCAATCAGTGGAAGATTTTCAGGAGTACTTCTTGCTGCATTAGGCTTGTTGTTAGCTTGCTTAGGACCACCCTTGACAAAGGTGATGGAAATCTCAGGTATTCCCATGCCTCTCCTGTCCCTCCTCAGAAACTGTTACTCTAGAGTAGCTGGTGAGCATGCCAGGCTTACCTGTGGACAGGCAGACACACAGGTGGGGTTATCATGCAAATACACCCCCTGGATTATAAATCACAAAGATTACATGTCCCAGATTAGATACTTTCTATTTTGAACTCTGGGTCCTGTTTCGGTTCCAGCAACCTTGGCAACAGAGGGCAGATGAGAACAATCAACAAAGTGGGACACTTTCAGGATGGTCAGAATGTCTTCCATGCCCTATCCAATGTCTGCATTGATGCAAGGATGGGCTGGTGCCCTGGGTCATCTCTGACCTTCAGGTTACATGGTTGTCCCTAACAGGGATTTGAAGAGAATGGGGGACAGTGACAGTGATGGGGCCATGTGCTTTTGGCTTCTACACTGCTCCAGTAAACACAGAGCTGAGCAATGCCCACAGTTTAACCACAAAGTTCCTGCACATGCAGACACGGGCTTGTTCCTTGAGAAAACACACTGCCTTGTCCTCCACCTGCCCTGCTGCCTGGGACTTGGACTGGGCACTAAGGGCTGCTGATGAAATGCTGGTCTGGCTCAATTCATTGGCAAAACTTTGGAGCTTCCCTGGAGCATCGTGATTTTGGTAGGTGCTCCACTGGGACAGTTCCCAGTGCAGCCTGGGGAAGTGAGCTTTTCCTGCATCTTGCCTTCCCAATTGTATGATGAGAAGGTGCTTTCTTACCTCGAAGAGACACTGGGAGCAGTCCATCCCAAAAGTGGGCAGGGAGAAGCTGAGAGCAGCAGAGGAAGAAATTGGCAGCAGGAGTTGTTTCCCAGCCTGAGGGTGCCCTCTGGCGTATGCAGAAAACTGTAACACTTGTTTCTTGAAAATCCACTTGTTTCTTGGGTTTACTTGGCTTCCTCCTTTCCCTAAAGCCTTTCAGCCAGCATGGTTCTTCACTGAAGGCTGCCAGGTAGGTGCATACCATAAGGTGACCCCCAGTCCAGTCCCGTGTGATGTTCACATCTATACACCCAGCAGCTGACAATCACTTTTTTAATTATGCTGGCCTGTCAAGCAGGAGGCTTCTGGGCCCCAGTGTCTCAGACCCAATTTCCTTCCAGCAGTGCCTGGTAGGTGTCCAAAACCAGCCTGCAGCAGCTCCTGCTCCAGCTGTGCCCAGGCAGTGCTGCTCCCCCTGCCCCGGGCTCTGTCTCCTGGCACGCGCTTGGGGCTCCAGTGCAGAACCATTCCAGTGCCAGGCTTGCATTTCAAACCCTGGGCTCAGTAGGGAAACCAGGCTGCAAAGAGGTAGGAGCAGCTTTTTATAAACAAACAAAACCTAGCCCTTTTTTCTTGTGAGAAGTTTAGGAGTGGTGGCAGTGTGAGCAAACATTGCCATGATCACATGGAACTGAAAGCAGACGGTGAAAGGGAGGCATAAACATGAAAGCTGAAGTAAATACAAATCCTCTCCATATGTAGAGTCCTTTCTTGGAAAAACATTGTCATCTTGTCTTGATTATGACATTTGGATTTTTTTTTTTAATAGTTTCAAAGCATTTTGTTGGCAGCTGCAGTAACAAATGTGCTAGTAGGTAGCAGTAGCTTGTTGAGTGCTCTGATGTTGCACTCTGCTGGGGCAGAACGAGTGTTCAGGTATTGCAGTGCCTTGTCTGGCAGCTGCTGCTCATAACAAAGCAGTAAGGTTGTGACATTTTGAGGAATTAAGTGTAGGTCACTCTCTGTATGCCCTTTCTTCTTTCCTCCTTGCTCCTTTCCTTGGGTGTTTTCCAACATGAGTCAGTGCATCCTCCCTCGCTCTTCCCAGGGTTACAACACATGGTAATCTGCCAGGAGATGTTCCAGGCTTGCAAAGCTCCTACTTCCTACCCAAAGGTGGGACTTTTGTCCAGATCCACCAACTGGCATTCATCAGCAATCACCAGTGGAAGAGAATTTGGCATGCTGGAGTCTGGGAAGACCCATGCTGAGATTAGGTGCTCTCTTCCACCTGTGTGACATCTGTCCTTGGATGTCTTCATTGTTGTTTGCTTCTCAGCAGACAGGTTTTGAACATATTTTCTCCTTGCTCTCTTCTGATCTTTTTCTTCTCTCTGTGTTTTTTTCCTTAGGTCGAAAGCTGAGAGGAAAAGCCTTTTATTTTGTCAATGGAAAGGTGTTCTGTGAAGAAGATTTCCTGGTAAGCACTCAGTTGACTCTTGTGATGAGATCTAATGGATATCTTAATGGATATCTTTCTGTTGCCCTCAATGGATTTTGTGTGAGTGTACCTAAGCATGAAGCAAACCCCCAGACCTTTTTTTTTATCTGCACCCCTCTCCTTGGCTGGTGCAGATAAAAATCCATATACCCTTCTTCCCCTGAGTCCTGGTAGATGAAGCCATCCTTGAGGCTTGAAAAAGTTGTATTTGCTTACTTATTGATGAATCCTAGTGATTTCTGTCAGAGAGAGGTAGGATCACCTTTGTTCTCCTCAGTATATTCTACATAGGATGAAAATTAAAGAATTAAATGCACCTAAAATATGTCATTTTCCAAGTGTGCATTTCCTTCATTCATCATCTTCATTCAGACAGATGATGTGCTGTGCCCAAGGTGCATGTCATGGACATGACAGACAGTCCCTTATCAATAGATCTCAGGAAAAAACAGCAAAAAAGTTGTAGTGGGCCAGACTTGATTGCTATCCTACCAGGGAGCTGGAACAATACCACTGTTATATAATTCTGTTATAGAACCTTCAACAGAATTATAACCATGTAACCAATGAAAAATTTGGCTTTCCAGGCCTATATATACAGATACTGCAACATAAGTATGTGATAAACACAAGTAGGTTCTTGTCTTGTAGATTCATGTGGTCAAATAAGCATGTAAATAAGTCTTATTAGTAACTGCCTCATTTGCATGTGCATTTATGATATTTATTTTTATACTTTAAATTAAAGTTAAATTTTCAACTTGGAAGTTACAAGAACTTGTACTCTTTCTAAACCTGAGCACTCAGAAACACATCCACACCTTTATATAATGAAAAAAACATTGGAAATTTTCGTTTTTCTGTCTAAGGAGCACAGAAAAAGGACCAATAACAAATATGCAAATAACTCTCCACAGTACCCTGTTGTTTATGCTTGAGTGGCCTTGTGAAATTTTAAGTGAATTCTTTTCTGTCCTTGCAGTATTCTGGTTTCCAGCAGTCGGCTGACAGGTGTTTCATTTGTGGTCATTTGATAATGGACATGGTAAGTGATAATTGCTTCAGGAGAAAAAGCTCCCACAGCTTTTTACAAGAATGCATCAAAAGAAAAATATATTAATATCCAGCACTGTCTGTTATCATCTGGTAGTTTGCCTAGTGGGAGCCTGGTATCAGAAGGAAAATCCACTGAGCCTTTTGTTGATTTTTTCAAGGAAGTGAATCTGGCACCCCAGTGTACATCATGCGGAGACACTGCTCTGCCTGTTTTCCGTGGGTGTTGAAAAGCAGAGCCTCGAGGTCTTTCATCCCTTTTTTGGACTTCTCTGGACAGTGTATTTGTAATCCAGTTGATGCTTCCTGCTCAGCAGTGTCGTGGCTCTGCAGTGCTCCCTTGCTGTGAGGCATCAGTGCAATTCTCTCAGCCTCTCTTTCCTGCAGTCAAGCTGTGGCTTCCCATGTATTCTGCATTAAATCACTTTCTCGTTGTTTTTTGTGGGTACTGATACTCTGTGGAGCAGGTTTGACCCAAGGTGTGTGATCCAGACCTCAGTTTAGATGTGTGAAGCAGGATTAGCCTGCAGCAGGTACCATCCATTCCAGATGTGCATGGGGTGGGGAACACTCAGGGGGTCAGCATTCAGTTATAGGAAGTTCAGAGGGAGACTGGTATAGCTGGTGGTGTAAGACTACAGCTGAGGCAAAGGAATTAGAAATTTCTGGTTGACAGCATGCCTCCCAACATTTTCTAATGCTTATCATTAATTATCTTTGTTTGCCTGCTTACACTGGAAAGCATTACAATTGGAACTTCCTACTCAGAAGTCTGATCCTTCTACTGACGGACCATGGTATTCCAGGTAGTGAATTGCAGCTGTTGAGTTCAACACAGTCTGTGCTGTGTTTCCATAGTCTGTGCTAATTAGAAAGCCAGGCGAGCGAGTACAAAGCCCTTCAATATGTAAGGAATTATGAAAACCCAGCAATAATACTAGTTTTGACTTCTTGTGGAGAGTATAAAAGTGTATTTCCTTTGTTAGGCTGACACATCTTGCCTTGTGATCTTGCTAAGTATTCTCTACTTGTTGACTTCAGAAATTATTTTATTTCTTTTAAATTCTGTCACTTCTAGCCTTTGTCATGCTAAACACCTTGACTGAGTCTCTAAATTGTTTTCATACCCATGCTAATAATTAATATCCGTAGAGCCAGGTGCTGTATATTGATTCCAGCTGCCCTTTCCATCCTTGTTAACTGATTTTTCAGATGAAACGGGGGAAAAAAGACACAGCCCTGCTGATGAGTATGCAGCATTATCTGGTGTAAAGCTGTGTGTTTGCTATTTTCACCTTTATTGGCTCTTCATGTGCATTTTTCCTTTCTCTTGCTCTGTTGCAGATCCTGCAGGCTCTAGGGAAATCATATCATCCGGGCTGCTTCCGATGCGTCATCTGCAATGAGTGTCTGGATGGTGTGCCGTTCACTGTAGACTCTGAAAACAAAATCTACTGTGTCAGGGATTACCACAAGTAAGGGCAAAATAAACAGCAGTGATCTTCCAAGCAGCAAGCCTCTAATTTAGCTTTTCAGCTAGTTAGGAGTGCAGATTGGTAAAATAGAGACAGGGTTAGAAGTTTTGAGGATGGGGCTAGATCCTAGAAATTCCTCCTCTCTCCTCTTATCCAGCTGTTGACCCTTGTGTAACTCTGATGAAGCTAAATAACCTCTGGGTTTCTCAGAGGTTCTCTGCCCCTTCTGCAAAGCAGAGAGTGAGAAATAATGCTCCTGAAGTGTTCAGTGATGTACAAAATCAGTGCTTTAAGGTAAGCCTGTGAATGCCTGTGGAAATCAATGTGATTTACTTTTTTAGTAGTTGAAGGGCTGAATTTGACTTTTAAAGAACTGCCACTGAATATGCAAAGCAAAACTTTTAGCCACTTCTAAATTAAACAACTGATAAATCCACTTTAAAAATCACTTCTTATTTAGACAGTAAAATAAAATGGGTGTGCTCTTGGCTGGTAGTTATGGTATTAGAGCTGCACACATTTTGTGTGTCCTTCTGGCTTGCTTTGGTCCTTGCTCCATTTTCTGAGCGGGGAGGTATTAAGTGTTGCTCAGGCAGCCCTTGGAACTCTTCTGTGTTGTGCCAAGACTAGAGTTGTTACAATCCTGTTGCCAAGATTAGTGCCCTTGTATGCCATCACTATTTGGAAATAATTAATATTTCCTTGCAATTTAATTAATTATTGTGTTATAAGGCCTTAAGAAGCTGTGCAGTCATGTGGTATTTTCTCAGAATTTTTCTGCCCAGAGGCTGCCACTTCTTTTAATGTATTTTTCCGGGGAGAAGTCCTGCTCAGTTCCTCCTCATTTTCTCTTCCAAATCTCTCAGTAGCAGCCAAGAATTTTATAGGGAAATTTTGTATTTTTTCTGGCACTAAGTGTAAGATACAAGGTCTCTTTTCGCCTGATTGAGCAACGTGTGCCAAGCATTACTTAAAATAAATGCTAAAATGAATTTATGATCTCAGGATGCAAAGCTTTCCTGTGGATAAGTAATTTACAGCTGCAACTTTTCATGTTATCACTGAGAAAATACAGACCTCTCTTTTTAAGTTGATCCATAACTTGCCTTCAATTTTTCATTGCTCTTCCAGAGTTTTAGCTCCAAAGTGTGCAGCATGTGGACTTCCCATTCTGCCCTCCGAGGTGAGAGCCTTTTATTCCATATCCCTTTGTGGGAGGAGTGTCAGGCCTTGTTCTCTTTCACACTTGACTATGTGTCAAAACAAATGTGCTTGTGGATGGGGAGAGATGGTTGCTTCCTCCAGAATGCAACCCTTTGGTCTAAGCTCATGCACTGTTCTTGAGATGTGACCCTTCTTTTGTTCACTGGTGAAGCTTATTCCTTCTCTGCCAGGCTGCTTTTTTCATCTCCTGCAGGATCATGCTGCTGCTAGTTTTGTGTTCAGGAGAATTTTCCTTTATGTCAATAAATGCTGGTGGTACTCATGAATGTCCTCTGTGTGACCACTCTGGGACTAATACATTTTAATACTTGGAGATGAATCTTAGGCAAAAGTAATTTACAATGCTGAAAAATGTGATCTATTGAAATTACAAAGTCATTTATTTGTGATTTCTGATAGATGTTACTGTTAAACAGAGAACATTTTTATACTTCTGGTATCACATTTTAGAGGATATCTGCAGTCAGGCAATGAGGAAGCTTTACTGTAAAAATAAATGCAAGTGGCAAGATTTATTTGTGGTCTCCAACCAGCTGCCCAAATGCATTTCCTCAACATTCATTTTGTTGCAGGAAGCAATCTACAGAGTGCATGTGTCTGATCCTGCTGTAATCCTTTGTAATTTCTGCTTTGCTCCAATGCTCACAGGGGTCTGATGAGACCATTCGGGTTGTGTCCATGGACAAGGATTACCATGTGGAATGTTATCACTGCGAGGTAGGTCAGCAGCTTTCTCAGGGAGTGGGCACTTCATAGTCATAACTGCTATTGTTTTTAAGATGGAAATAAATCTCCTGCCTTACAGCAGCAGTAGCTGAGCAATTCAAACCTTGCAGTGTGAGACCCTTTCTGTCAGTGACCAAGAAGTTTCCACATTGAGGACAAAAGTTTTTGCAGCAATAGGTTTCAGTTCTAATTTCATTTGCCATCTTTAAAGTTACAGGCAACAAGTTAATTGTTGCTTTTCAAAATTGGCAGTTTGTTTGTTAAGGCAGGAAACATGGTGACTTAGTAAGGTCTATTGCTGCCTTCCAGAAGCCTCCAGCTCCAGATCACATCAGTGTATCTGATTTCCAAGTCAGATTGCTGAAAAATGCTAAGGTGGTGACTGATCCTGTGGGGTGTAAGTTACCTTCACTCTCATGGGAAATGAATGTGTCTTTAAGAAAGGATATGGCTGCACAAGAAAAAATTCCAGGAGATACTAGCTCTTAAAAACCATTTAGTCTGTGCAGGGCTTCTCAGAAAGCTGCCTTACTTCTGCATTGAGAATTAAAATATATAGTTGTTTTTTCTCACTGTGCTTATAATGCAGTGAAAAGAGGCCCTGACTCCACAATCTGATTTCACATCAGTACAACTGTAATGTGAAGAGGTGAATCTTACCTGACAGTGTAAGGAGACACAAGCATATTTCAAATACAGAGTGTTGCACTGTACCACAAGATAAAGCTTATTCAATAAAACTGCTTTAAGCAAATTTGTACAAGGCTGCCCATCAAAATGCCTGCGTCAGATGCTTTTCTTCTTGTGGTACATGCTGGACCTATTGGGAAGGAGCTGTTGGCTGGGTATTGTCTGTCCTTGTCACAAAATTCTGGCTTTCCTAGAAGCCAGACCCCAGCTGACACTGGGAGATGAGCACAAGCTCTAATAATTTGCACGGCCTCTCTTTGCAGGACTGTGGGATGGAGCTGAACGACGAAGATGGGCATCGCTGCTACCCACTGGATGAACATTTGCTTTGTCACTCCTGTCACCTGAAGCACATAGAGAATGGCACCACCCCAGCAGCTGCCTACCAGCACCACTACTAGTCACTGTGGCCAGCGTTGGAAAGCTGGGACAGAAGAGTTGTTACATGATCCCCCTCTCCCCACCTTCAGCTGATTTCCTGTGCATGTTTTTTGCCAGTCAGCAATGTTCCTGTCAAAGGATATGAGAGATTTTTGCTGGATTCACCAAGTTTGTATGCTTGTGAGTTTCAGCTGCATCAAACAATGTCTACTTGACCAAGAATGTGGCATGTCACCTAAACTGATCAGTTTACTTTTACATGTCTTTTTCTGCTGCCTGGAGATTCCTCTGGGCTCATTCTGGAAGATTCTTCAGTGAAAGCACAATTTGCTCTCGTGCCTATGAACTCAGATCGTGCCATGCACAATTAAAAAGCCAGAGGCTGGCTTGCCTGCCTGCCTGCTGGGGACATCCCATCAGTCTACTGTTTCCTGAAAGCACATTTCACCAGGTTCTCTGAAGGACACCAACCTATTAGTACCAGCTTTTTAGACACTCTCTGTTTTTACTAATTCTTTAGGAAAACAAAAGAAAGGAGTCTATGCAAAATGGCACACTCAGACCTTTCAGTTAATTCCCTGAACTCCAGTATCAAGTCTGGCTGTAAGAGTACTAACTCTCCAAGCACAAACCAGGCAATGCTGTCTGGCAACTGAAGGCCAACATCCCATTTCAAACAGAACAAAAAACTGGAACAAGCTAGGCTAAGCTACTGCAATGACTTGGGGCCCAGGCTTGTGTGTCAGCATGACACACAGGGGCCAGTCTGCTGTGTCAGAGTCTGAATAGTGGATCATATTTGGAAAGGAAAGGTCGGGATGCTGAAAGTGTGGACATGGGGGAAATCCTCCCTCATTCTTGCTTGCAGAGCTCACTTTGGAAAAAAGCTCTCCATACATAGACAGTTGCCTGAGTTTTCCAGTTTGTCCTCACAGCTCAGCCCTCAGCCTGGCTATTCCTTTTCATGGTGTTTACCCAGCACAAAGCCATTTCACAGTGGTGCTTATTCAGAGTTTGGGGAGTGAACTTGGGATTGTTATGAAGGCTTTGTCACGCAGGGATTTAGAGCCCAGCTCCACAACCTGAACTCAGATGAGTATGTTGGCAAAAACAGATTTGCTCCTATGAATAATAACAGCTTATCTGAGCAAGGGGTTAGAAAGTTTGGCCCTTACTTTCCGTTCTGCTGAGAAAGCAGGAAGGCAAATTGTTTCTTTTCTTGACCCTCCCACTCCCCTGCTCCCTGCTTTTTCTGATAGGTGTGCCTGCAGTGCATGTTCTGTCCCTACCAAAGCTGTGCAGCCCCTCATGTACTGGTACTTTTGTTTAACAAAAAGTTCTTAATTTAAAGCCTCAGATGCAGTTGGGGTTAAATCCTCATGTATCTGTGCTGAAGATGTAAATTTGGTTCTGACTGGCAAAGGATGGGATGACATTCTTAAAGAACTTTTCAGTGTGGAAACAACAATAAATTAGCTGAGCCGTGGCAGTGAGACTCCCAAAATGTTCCCATGCTGAAAAGCCATTACAGTTCAACCAAACCTCTTTTCCAATAGCAGGGATGTAGCTTGAACTTCACTTGATGTAGTCAGACAGCAACACGTACCCATCTGGAGCAGCACAGGTGTCAGGTAACAGCAAGTTGTCTGTCTCTGCCTGTGCTAGTAAATCATCTTCCCGTGGCTGAAATGTGAAACTGCCCCAGCCTCAGAGCTTGGTGGGTCTGGCCCGGAGTTTCATGGTGCCATCTGACCATCCAGCCCTCTGCCCCATCCAGCTGCAAGTGTCTCTGCCTGTTTCCACTGCTCTTCAGGATGGGAATGGCAGCTTGGGGCTGGAGGCTGGTCCTGCCTGGGAGCCATCCAGAGCTTTGGTGTAGCTTGGGACATGAATCCCTTCAGTGAGTGACTGAAAACTCAAGGGAGGGCACTTTAGCACTGTGAAATATATCTTCTGAGAGTTTTACCTATGATTTTAGAGGAGGTAAAATTGACCCCAAATATGTGAGCCCTCCTAGAGCCTTAAATTTAGCCTCCAAATGCTGGTTAGGAAAGGGATGGGAGCTGTAAGCAGTGCTGCATCCAAGCAGGATGGATCGAGGGCAGCAACAGCCAGGGCAGATCCCACAGTGCTCTCCCCACAGTGCATCCCATCAGCTTGTGTCCTGCAGCACAGCTAGGCTGGAGCAGGGAGGGGGTGTTCCAGCTGTGACTGTGATCTCAGGACTGTCTGAAGGGACTGAGGTGGAAAATAACACCAGCTCACAATCCCTAGTAAATAATTCAAATAGTCCTGGGAAGGTGGTTCTGTGCCCTGGGCTGCTTTTGGCAGTGAAGGCAACGAGATACCAAAGTGTTTTTTTGAAGTGAGCTGGAAACACCAGCCTTGGTCATCTGTTGCTGCCTCTGAAAGACCAGCTGCTATGTAGTTCATGCTTTTGCTACCTCTTGATTTTTTAGATCAAGCCCTTGTGCACATTTTTTGCCTTCATTTTGTAAAGATCTGAAAACACTAGTGGGACTGGTATTTCATTTTTAAACTGCAGTTTAAACTTCTGTCTCAGCCTTGGAGCCTTCCCCAAAACCTTAATATAAGCAGGAGAGAAAGGAGTGGGGACAAGGATAATTTTCCTTCATGGAAAGCCTCAAGGGCAGCAGTTTGTGGCAAGATGTCTTGCAGGAGTCCTCTTTGCATCACCAGAGAGTTTGGCCTCTGCTCCCACACAGTGTCTTCTTACTCCTGTCAGCCATCCTGTATCCCTCAGCACTGGGGAAATGAAGGCTGCCCTACTTCCAGTTTTAAGGTCCCCTATAAATTATTAAATGCTAACACTCTCCGGTATTTACAAAGAGCTGGAAGTGACAGTGTGAAGCTCTTGAAAAAAGGAGCCTGTGAGCTTGTGGTTTTGAAGCTAAAGCATCTACTGCACTGCCCTGCACCCCTGTGTGTGCTAACTTGCACTGCTTCTATCTCTGGGAGTTTGAATTCCTTTAAGCTCAGAATTATTTCTCCCAGGCTGTGAGTGTCTGAGTCCCTGTTGATTTTCCCCAGCTCTGCAGCTGCCTGACAGTGGGTCTGGCACAGGGGGAGGCAGGGGCATCCTGCACAGAGGGGAACCTTCTCCTCCCGACCCTCCACCAGGCATCTGTGGAGCTGCAAGCCCTCCCTGCCTGCCTTCAGGCAGCTCCCCCAAAGGGAGAAATAGCTCTGGAGCTGGAGGTGTGACACTTTGCGTCCTCTTCAGAAGAATTTCAAAGAGCATGTTAAATTCCACCTATCTCCTGGCTGATACACATTGGGTTTTGCTGTTCACATGAATCTTGTTGCCTTTTAATTTATTAAGAAGCTATGAAAACGTGCTATGAGAAGTTAGTCTTGGTTCCTCCCCCAGCAAGTTCTTCTGACTGGCTTTAAAGTAAGGGACCCTTGGAAGTCCCATTGTGCTGTTAATGAGTAACTCTCATGCAAATAGTTATTCAAGTGAATTCCCTGAAGCCTGCTTTCAGGAATCAGAGCTTAAAAGATTTTTTCATTCAGATCATGATGTTAAATTTCTATTGCTTAAAACACAGAAACTCATTTAAGTAAGGATTTTTGCATAAGAGCCGGGGGAAAGCCCCAGCTACAGAAGCAGCAGACATTTTTGTGTAATTTAAAGTGTAAGAAGCACCTGTGATCAAAGTGATTTGGGAAACTGCCCTGATGTTAAAACACAGGGAACAGCAGTTTCTAACACTCTGGTAAGGAGCATTTGAAAAGATCTGTGGTTCTTCAGTTTCTGAATTTCATTTGGGGGCTTTTAAAACATTTTCCCAGTCTTTCAAGATTTAAATGCTCTTTTTTTTTTTTTTTTGGTAGATCTTTTTACTACGAAGTGAATAGCTGCTTAGTCTGTAAATGATGGAGTTTATGGAGTTTCATCAGCAATCAGGTGTGATGTGGCAGCCTTGAAAGGGGTAAACTGAGCTTCCAAGAACTGGCATGGGTCTGGCTGGCCGTTCCAAAGAAAGGATTATCTTTTTTTTTGGAGAAAAAGAATCCCATGTCAGCCTTGACCACTTGCTATGTGCTCACTTTTGGGGTGGTGTGTGCAGCTGTGTCCATGCACATGATGTGTGGCAGGTGCTGCCCATGGCACACCTGCCTTTCACACCTCTGTGGCCACGCCAAGTGCTTGTAGGTGCCTTTCTGTTCATGAATGTAACGCCAAGTTACATTCTACTACCCAGGCCTCATCACTGGGCAGTACCCCTGGAGTCAGTACCTGCAGGCAGGGAAGGGCCATGACCAGATACACTTCCCTTTCCCCCATCCTGTGAGTGCCACTGGGAGAAGCTGGGAAGGGCTTTGCATCTCTCATCATGGCACAGCATTTGTTCATTTTCCTTTTCCATTTCTGAGTCCTGCTGCTCGCTGGCTGCAGTGGCTCTGGCTGTCCTCACTGAAGCTGACTGGGCAGACATCTTCCTGTCACAAGCCCAGAGAGAGCTTGGAACTGCTCTCCCACCCTTTTCCTAAGAGAAGCAAAGCTTTCCTGAGCAATAAAAATCCTTACCCTGCTTTCTTCCAGGGCAGCCAGAAGTTGGTATGGCAATGCATCTGCAACCCACTCAGACACGGCAGGAGATGGGAAGAAAATGTCCCCACGTGCAAATCCATGGCAGAGAGTTGAGGCAGGGATGCCCTGTGGCCCTGGTGGAGGGATGACAGGGCTGCAGTTGCCAGCCCAACCCTCCTCCCCACGCAGCAGGTCTGCAGAGCAGGGCCAGCAGGGACCCAGGCACACCCCCAGGCTCTGCCTTTCTGCATCCAGAAAGCAAATCCAGAGCCTGCCTAACGATACTGAATGGTACTAGTTATTTTATGTTTCCTTCAAAGCTCGGCTCCAGGAGAGAGTATTTTAAGATTTGTGCTGGTGTAACTAACCTTAGCCTCCTGTGAACACAGCCCTCTTTTCTTCTGTGCTATTAAGTATTTATAAAGAATGGAGACCGGTAGCCACTGGCCTGTTGTGATTTCA